AATTTGTTTTATTTATTTATGAGTATATGTCATTTTCCATCCATTTGCATGGTTATTTCAGTTTTATTTTTTTATTTTAACTGCTATTTTAGGGTATGTCTTAAAGCCAAATTTTGTGCCTATTTATTTATTAATGAGCTTTTTTATTTACCATATTTGTGTTTTTAACAGCCATTTTGAGTATGTCATAGTCAAACCAAGTTTTGTGCTTGCTTATTTATGAGTTTATTCATCCAGGTAATTTTTTTATTTACCATGCATTTGCATGGTTGCTTTATTTTATTTACTTTTATTTTCTAAGCCATTTTACACTAGTCATTTTCTATAGTAAAACCAGGTTTTGTACATATTTTTATGTATTGCATTTTTATGTTTCTATTTAAAATTCTGTTATGTATATCTGTTATATATAAACTAACTGTATATAATATACGTGTATTTATTTATTGTCCAAATGATTAATAATGACCTATGAAAATATATTTTCAGTAAACATATGTTATGATGATTTGAGGATTCCAGCTGACCTTGATGTGTAGAAGTAGGCCTAACACTAAGCTGGTAAGTACTGGCCCCTTTTTCTCTGAACCTGCAGTTGTTGATTTGTATTGATTCATCTGGTTGATCTGTTTGGTTAACCACGACGCAAACCATGAGGAGTTCCAGTAGAGTGAAACAAAATTGAATTAAGCTCTCAGGAGAAATCTCCACTCACACCGATCTTGATTTCTCTGCTTTCTCTGTGGTGAAAGACTGGAAAAGCTGATCTCTTATCTGAAGTATGTCGGTCTGCTATCTCACACTGTTCTCCTCTCGGCAAATGACTGACATCCTGTGAGCAAACAGTCTTAACTGGACCTGTCAGAACATGAGTACACCTGTATTGTGTGCGAGAAGAGAGGAAAGAGAGGAGAAAGCCGAGTGTGTGAGGAACACAGTAATCACAGCCCTGAGCTGCTTATCTCCAGAGATGCAGCATAAGCTTTGCTCTTTGCTCTCCGTTTTGACCATTGTGCTAGCTGAGTAAATTTGCTCTTGGCCCGAGGGGATCTGAACCCCACCCTGCTTCCAAACGTATCTGTCCGTCTGTCAGCCCTTCAAATGTCTCACACCTTCACACAACCTCACCCTACAAAAACTTAATAAACATTTCCAAATGAAGGTGATGAACCTTTGGAAATGATCAAGGCAAGTTACACTTCTTTTCATCAGATACCCTACTGAAATACTACATAAGATGCGACTAAACTTAATTCTGAGACTCTGTCTGAGTTTTAGGAAACAATGCATGCCAGCATTGTTTACTAGATAACAGATTAAAGAGCGAGTTTCAACAAAACACTTGTATTTCCAATGTCAGAGAGCCTGCACCCCCTGCTATTGGGTTGTTTGCTGTGCTTTTCTTTCCAGGGCATTGGTATGTATGTTTAGGAATTCTAATCTTATCTGAGTATCTCCCTACATTAACATCTGTTATGCTGCAATTACCATATACATTAGTCGACACCTGTTTCGCTTAAACCTATTTAATTACGCCAATTGTACTAGTTTGTTGTGGGCAAAAGCAAAGTCATCCCCTTTTAAAAGAGGTTTGATGTTCGGTCACAATAAAGCCAAATAGCCTAATTCATAGTCCAGGGTCGTTCGGAACCGAAAGAAAAAAAATCATTTGCGACCGTGCGGAAATGATTTAGACTACATAAATGAAATTAGAAAAATAATTTCGCTTTAAAAAAAAAATAATAATAAAAATCGGCGTGTAGGCTATAAACAAGATTTTTTTTTATGTCTACTGTGTAAATTATATCTGATTTAAGAAGACATAAAATTCTCTCTGATTAAACAAATTGTATTTTTAATAACTTTAACGAAAATATTAGCTATTTACTTTTTTTTTTTTTTGAAATTAAAGTAGGCTACATTAATTTTGCTAAATGTTAATGTTATTAATGAAAGCTAATCTACTTTTTATATCAATGAATCAAACGTGCAACGCAAGTTAAATCCATCTGCAATCGTTTTTTTTTTAACTTGCACTAACTCTATTGTCAAATCAAAGCAACTAAAGTTTCCAAATCGGTGTTAACTAGTTAAAACCGCTACAAGGTCTTTTCTTACTTCGAACGCCTCAGACACACATTGCACCGTGTTGCTAATCAAATTCTGATAATGGCTTGTCATGTCGTGTCTTGTATCGGTTTGCTCAGACATAAAGATGAAACAGTCTCAGCCAGATGGAAAAAAGTTGATTCTGAGACGTTAATGTGCGACATTTGTAGCTGTTCCGATGGCTTTCAATCGCTTCTCTCGGCTGAGCATCATTCAATTCAATTAGAAGTGTTCACGTGCAATCAAGATTAAATGAAAACTATAAAAACAAAATAGGCTATATTAAATATAAAAGTGATTTCTACAAACACCATTAAAAACATTGAATGAGAACATGTAGCCATAAATAGGCTACCATCTGATTGTTTGACTTTAAGACATCAAGACTTTAATAAGTTTAAATAGGCCTAATATTTATCCTATAAATCAAAACGGACAGATTTTCTACGTGAAGCTGTTTTTCATGGTTTTAATAATTAGCATATATGAAAGTATTTTAGATCGAGTACAATCAAACACCAATCTCATTTAGGAGCATTTCCAAAAATTTCGAATGGAGCCCAACTATTTTCCACTCTTCAGTACGGATAAGCATCATGAGTTTAAAGACTTTTAGAGGCCGTTAAAAGGAACAACCGAAATTCTCCTTTGAAGGGATTTAGCCCCAGTGAAAGCCTTTGGATCACAGCTGTCAATCAACCACCATGGCACCGCCCACTGGAGCGGCTCCGCCTATAAAGAGCGCCCGTGAACTCGAGGGAGTGACATTCATACACCAAAGCTCAGGGAGTAAGGATGCCTGCTTCTCCAACGGGGTTTGGAAACTTCTTCATGGACAGGAACATCAACATGCCCGCTGGATATCAATTATTAGGCTGCCTGCCTGGAATGCAACAGCCACTGCCACATCTTGTGGGAATGGCTGGGGTTCCCTTACCTTTCTCAGGAATACCGGGGTACAGTTTCATCCCTTATCCTCATCCGGGACACATGGCACACATTGTAAGTATTCTGAAGGATTATTTTTTAATATATATATATTGCATTACAATTCAATGCAAATTTTTAGATTTTATTTTGTACGTATTACAAATGTTATAGCCTAATGCATGTGGAAAATGTCACGTCACACATCACAAAATAAAAAACATGACAAACTGAAAAATGATTCCTTTATTGTATTTCAACATGCATATTCTAAATATTCTAAAACCGAATCTCTTGCTTACTTTCAGAGCAATTCCTATGACCTCAAGGCTGCATCTCCGTATCACCAAGCTCTCTTCGGACGTGGAGGGCCCTATTACACTCCATATCGTCCCATGCCAGCTGATGACCCGAGTAGGGTCACCAAAGTGGCCACCAGAGAGAGCACCAGCGCTTTGAAGGCCTGGCTCAGTGAGCACCTTAAAAACCCATATCCCACCAAAGGCGAGAAGATCATGCTCGCCATCGTCACCAAGATGAGCCTCACGCAGGTGTCGACGTGGTTCGCCAACGCCCGGCGCCGCCTCAAGAAAGAGAACCGGGTCAGCTGGGCCTCCAAAGGAAAGTCCGACGAGGAGGATGAGGAAGAGGAGGGTGAGAGCGAAGAGGAGGGGTCTTTGAGGAAAGGCACGGAGGACGAAGATGAAATCGATCCTCAAACGGTTGATGATGATGAGGAGGAGGATGTCGCGGTGTCAAAGTCGGTCGAGGACCGTTTAGCCGAAGGACTTGATCAGCAAAAGGAAAGTGACAAGTCTGACACGTCCTGTGAGACCAAAAAAGAGGTGTGTAAACAAAACATCGATGTCCAGAAAGCTAAAATCTGGTCTCTCGCGGAAACCGCGACTTCAGATATCGTCAAGAAACCCAGCGATCTGAAACATCTTCACAGTCCAGACTTTGGGAAGTGGTGGGCTGGATGGCCTTCAAGGGACTCCTACTCGCCTGTAAACCTCTCCACACATGACCTGCTCAAACAAAGTCAATGAAACTGTTCATCCAAGACACTATAGACTGAATTTTGCACTTTGAAAACCATTGGGAACGTTTTGTTGTGGAAGTTTGCATAGGCTACAAGATTGAATCCAAAGGATGCGTATTGTGTAAATATTGTACAGATATGTTTGTTTAAATTATAAATGCATTTACCTGCTGACTTATTTTTGCTAAAATAAAACGTTGAAAAATTGAAAAGTTTTGGTCGTGGTCAATGGTAATGGTAAAATCCCTTTATCCAAAGTCGTTGGTAATGGTTTGGGGTTTGTTGAAATGATTTAAGTAAGAGTTGCGTTGAAATTATTATTTAAAATTGTTTTGCTTTTAGGTTACAGCTTACTCTCGATTTCCAGCTGTAATGCTGTAGTTTCTTAAAGTCCTAAAGACCCATTAATTAAAGCAATAAGTCACGAAAAGTCTCAAATGTCAGTTAATTTAACTCGCTGAAGTGTTTGTAACAAGAACAATAATTAAACGGGCCATCGTTTAACAAATAGGAACCTTATGAAATTTAATAATCGAAATAAAAAATAATATAGATCGTTATGCTGTTTACACAAGCAAATCAACATGATGGAAACTATAGGCCTACTGGCTTCAAGGCTCGCCTTACCCAATAAAAATTGGCGCACAACTAGGCCTTATAAAAGTTATAAAATAAACAGTTTAATAATGAATCAAATTCGACAATAATTGGATTAAACAAATCTTATGCCGCATTTGATCTTAACCATTCGCTGGCTGCCCAAAAAACATGGCATAGCCTATTAGATAGCTTACTCAACAATGCGTTCCAACGCGTCTCATCCAATCAGAGAACTAGAGGTTTTATAGTCACACGTTTATCCATGATCACTCTCTAAAACCTTAAAAAGTACATGTTCACAGTCGAACTTTATATATGATAATTAACGTCGTTCAAGAGGAGTTCTCAGATTCTGGAAGCAGATCAAGACGCGTTCAAAGCGTTTCACTTCAAGGCTGGATTTAGGCTTCATGTTATCAGTGAGGACACTACTATTGAGGGATTTGCATATCTGCCTCTGATCTGTTAAAACAATTCAAAGCAGCGCGGATTAAGGACACGAATTGTTCCGTCTTGAAGGGCGATAATTAAGATTATTCTTGTTTAGTTACGACTTGACAGACGAAAAGTGCCAGAGGCTTCTACCTCTACCCTCATTTAGTGCTTAAATGTATGGGATCAAACGTGAACAAAGTGACTTGTGAGAAAATAAATAGTATACTGACAAAAGTCAAGTGCAAAAAGGTAAAACTGTACCTTTTAAGTAATACAAGCCAACTTGAAGTGGAATAATTTGATATGATTAAAATAATATTATATTACAGTATAGAATAAAACGTGAGAAAAAAAGTCCAAAAGGTTAAATAAATAAACAGGCTAAAATAAATAAAGTCCAAAAGTAGTAGTAATAATAAAATGAACAAACATGGTACTCACAATTAAATATAGAATAAAAATACTTATGCAAAAAAAAAAGGGTCCAAAAGGGTAAAATAAATAAACAAATGTAGCAATTTATTATAATATAACATAAACACGGTTCTTACAGTGTACTCACCACAGGTCTGATCTGAGGTTGAACTGCCAGGAGTGTTCTGAACATATCCAGATTTACATCTAGAGGGAAAAAAAAAAGAGTTGAGTTGAGACTTGAACTCAGGGAATTATTTCTGTTATTTCATTCAGAATGACTGAATCAACCAGATTGCATTAGGTTACAAAAGGAATTTAGATCAGGCTCAGATATATTCTTTTTTGGGTAACAATTGCATGTTACCCAATTGTTGCACACTCAACATCCCAGAACATAAATACGTTCTAAGAATATTTAGCTAACGTTCCCATTATGCTATTAAGAAGTTGTTTCTAAATGTTCTCCGAAAGTTCAAAACATCCAGTTTTTAATGTTTAAAAAAAAACACTTGTTTATGTGAAAGTTAAAGAAAACATTAAGTGAACATTCCGTTTAATAATTTTGGAAACATTATGGGAATGTTACTTTTTGAATGTTCTCTGAACCACCCGAAACTAGAAGGTAGCAACGTTTTTAAAAATGTTGGACCAAAGCCCAACGAAAAATATTTCATGAATGATGTATATTATAAACAGTGTTTTTGTGCTACCATTTTGGGAATGTTATTAATTACCAGATAACTTTGAACAAACATTCTATTAACATTACTGGAAGAACGTTTGAGAGAACGTTGCCAGAACATGGTTCCCCGTTAGCTGGGATTTCATCCCGTTACACTAACCTAAGACACAATAGTATATGAGACCAGCACTAACAGAAAAAAACAAAGGGACTTGATATCAGAATGATTTCTCATACTCGCTCCATTTCCTGCAGGTGTCAGATGAATCATTGGTGGAGAATGTTCCATGTTCACATGCCTCACACGCAGTATCACTAACCGGTGAACCTGCCAAAATACAGGGTAACGAGAGGCAAAAATGAAACCCATGTGTCTATTCTGTGTAAATGATGTCTATGCACTGGGTTTGAACCACTAGCTACACCACGTCATTCAGCTTCCTCCAAGTGTCTTTGGCCATTTAGATAAGTACAATGATTGTAAAACACATTTAAAATGATATTTTGTGACATATTATTAGATTCATTTTTTAATAACAATGTAAAGGTACAAATTAGGACAGACCTTTTTTGACAACTCTCTGTCCTGGCTTGCAAACTGTATGTTTTGTACAAGTGTCGCAGTCATCATCTTGTGTACAGTAGTATCCAGGTTCACACTGACATCTGCTTAGCCTGGTCTTGCTGGGTTCATTTTGTGGCAAAAAATGTAAATCTGAAAATTGAATGAAAATGAAAAGAAAATCAAGAGTAAGCTTCACGGAGACCTTCCAATTACATTTATTCACTTAGCAGATGCTTTTATTAATAACCTAAAAATGTTGATTCATTTATACTAATATTAATAGTTCTTTAAACAATTTATTATTAATATTAACAGATATTGCTAGTATGCTAAAATATAAAAAACACGTGCAACTGTCTAAAAACATAGATACATTAATCTAAAACAATTGTGTTTAAAAAAAAAAACACTCACTAGGGTCACAGCTGGGCTGGCGCTCACATCTGTTTTCGCTTGTGTAGCCACTCTGATATTCTCCGTCTTGGCAGTCCTGACAGCGCGGGTCCTCGCAGTTATCATCCACCAACATCCGCTTACCTGTGACACACTCACAGTAACTACCCACTCTGATTAGACTAAGAGATTCGTATATTAATTAAAGGAGGACTAAGAGTAAGCAAAACATGATATTATTGTTTTTTTTTTCAAGGCCACATGTAAAACAATATCAACTATTCAAAGTAAGGCATTGGCAATTCAAACAATATGGTACTGTAGCTGAGTAGACTATTCATGTGTATTTTTTATAGAAAACAAGGGAAGTAGGCTACATGCTGATACTTCCTCTAGACTACGTCAGTTTACTGACAAGCCACATTGAATTACAGTTCATCCACATACCTGGTCCACACTTCTTACAGCATGTACCATCCTTCAAATAATGTGTATCCTTCTCACAGCATGACACAAGATACAACAATGTGACCTGTCAAAGGTAAATGCATAAAGAACATTACAAAGAATATTAACCCTTGTGTTGTGCTGAAAATCCTTTACCCAATTGGTGTTCCCGGTACAAAATTGCTTGTAAATCTTTAATTATGCTATATTATCACCAAATCTTAGATTCAATTTTTTGTCAACTTGTTTTCTTTCAATTAGCACAGGTTTTGTATTTCTTTTTCGGAATTGATTGGTCATAAGCCTTACTGATCTGCAGTTATGCACCTCAGTTTTTGCAATCCAATATTTGGAAATAATATAGCATAATGAGACTTTCAAGCAGGTCTGGTCATTTTTGACTGGGATCAAGTGTAACAAAGATGGAAAAAATCCCCAAAAAGTACAAAGGTTATCCATTTTTGGAAGTTGTTATACACAGTGTGAGTTAAGTCCAAATTCTCCATTTTTGGAGAAAAAGAAAATCCTCTATGGGTCGAAATGACCAGAACACAACATGAGGGTTAAGGTCATGTGATGTCAACATATCAGTCCACTCCATGAACAATAAGTCTGCTTTTTCTATTATATTAATATGTTTAAAGTCTTTTTTTAAATGTGTAAACATCTATATTAGCACATAAAAGGTAACTCCTTTTATAATCAATTATCATAAAATTATTAACTATTAATGATCAACACTATATTTAAATGTAAGCATGTTTTTGAGTTATTTAAGTGGGCATGAGGTCCCTCAGACCTCCAAACAGAAACATGGGGCAAACTTGAAACCAAAACGACGTTATTACAACAGGCAATGCGGAAAGTCCCCAAGATCCCCACCCATAATGACCGTTTTTCAGTACAGAGGGCTGCAACCTTACAATAATGCACTAAATGACTATTGAACAACAGACAGTGCAGATGTTTTCATATGTATCTTAGATACAGACACTTTAAAATGCTGTTCCAATACCAGCATTCAAATCGAAAGTGAAAGTAACGCTAACACACGAGTCATTGTTTTAATAACGACGACAATCTAAACGTTCTAAATGCTGCACATGAAAACTAGAAACTGATTCATTGTTACAATTTCAATAACAACCACCATTCATTTTAATGCGTAGTTAACCTGCACGTACAAAGCGTTACTCAAGCGTAAAGCACATCACTTACCAGCGCACAAAGAGTGAAAACTGTTCTCATGATGACAATATCAGTAGAAACGGATCCTTGTAACCAGTTGTTGATGCCTCACAAACACATAAGATACTAAACCGTCTGCTGCAGATCTTAAACTACCGCTTGCCAGGCTCGAAGGGGGATTTCTTTTTGCAGACACGCCCACACGTGACATGTGACCATTTCCCATTTCCCCATACTATTCCAAGAAGAGAGAGTAGAAACTCTAAAGACGTGTTGCATGATAAAACTGGTCAAGTTATTACACTTATATTATTTTTTAAAAAGGATTTCACGTTTTCGAGAGATTTTTTTTATTCTTTTTTTAAAAGAATCATTAATATCATTTGAATTAATATAGCCTAATCTAATATATAAATCATCATTTTATTAATTTGAAAAAAGTCCCAGATTATAACATGGAATTGGTTTGTCTGTCAGTCTAATTCCAAAGAAACGTCACTCAACCAGGCAGAACTTCCCAGCTTGACTTTCAGTTCCTCCAGACCACAAACGCTATTGAGTCATGTCAGCAGTGACAAAACGTTTATCTCTTACTTGCAAGTGACATTTATTTATTTACTTGCCCGATTTAATGTCACCTTAGTGTAACCCCTCTCTCCCGGGTCCTCACCGCTACACCTCGTTCTCGCTCCGAGTGGGTCTCAAACCCGGGTCTCCAGCATGGGAGGCGGACGCACTAACTGCAGCCATTAGCGTGTCTCTTGAGATCAGGGGAGTGAGGTTTACCTGCACAGCACCTACCGCTGGCCTCCGTTACACTCACCCCCCTAAATCCTCACTCCCATCCGGGTCACGGCCCCAATGTAACCCCTCTCTCCCGGGTCCTCACCGCCACACCTCGTTCTCGCTCCGAGTGGGTCTCCGGCATGGGAGGCGGACGCACTAACAAGGAGGCTAAAGACTGCAGCCACTAGCGTCAGTCGCTAGTGCGTCTCTTGAGATCAGGGGAGTGAGGTTTACCTGCACAGCACCTACCGCTGGCCTCCGTTACACTCACCCCCCTAAATCCTCACTCCCATCCGGGTCACGGCCCCAATGTAACCCCTCTCTCCCGGGTCCTCACCGCCACACCTCGTTCTCGCTCCGAGTGGGTCTCCGGCATGGGAGGCGGACGCACTAACAAGGACAGCACAGCACCTACTGCTGGCCTCCGTTACATTAGCATCATTAGCAAAACAGAAAATCATAGTTCATCTGTGATTTACTGAATTGACAACACTGTGTGACTAAAGCAGAAAAATTCGGAGCACTAAGGCCTGCCATTGCATTTTGTACTTTTTACTTTTGCACTTTGGAGGGAATGTGAGCATTTAGTGTTGGTGGCAGTGCAGTGACCTTTGCATTTCTTTCGAACGCATAATTAACTAAAATAAATAAATAAATTGAGGTTTGTACTAAGCGACAATTAATTTTGGGGTAAATGTGTACTGCAGTATATAAATAATAGCCTATTAATAATATAAAGTATTATATAGCACAGTGTTATTATTAATTCATTATTATTAATGGCACATTATTATTCTTTAGCTTGGGTTAAACAAATAAATTTTGCTTGGTTGGAACAGCAGCTACACTAATTATGTCTCTATTTGTTTCTCTGTTTCTGCTGGGATTGACATCCCGTGGTAACTAGGATTTACACAAGCTTCAGTCTGGATCCAGAACACCTGAGAAGAGATGATGCCAACCCCTCAGAGGACCTCAGATGATGCCAACCCGGAAACAACATACAGAACTACCACATTTTGCTGTAAGCTTGATTGCATCATATAATAATTGCTGTTAATAGTGTTCATCGTCTGTTTTATTACGTCTTTAATTGATTTTTCCGTACATTTCTGCCATATGTACATTAACTGACAGTCACCACTGATAAGCTACTACTAAATATTGTAGAAACTTAATTTGCTGTAAAGTGGCTTCGCAATGATTTGTATCGTGAAAAGCGCTGTACAAATAAACTTGAATTGAATTCAAAATAAAAATAGAATTATTTCTTATGATTTGAAATGAAGCTGAAATAACAATAAAATAAAAAGTACATATAAATAAATACTATAATAGTACAATAAATAATACTATACACTGATATAGTATTATGGATATATAAAACAATAGGCTATACGAAAGACAAAAAGTGAAAGCAAAACACAGCTCATGAAACAATAATGTTATACAATGGCAGCATGATTTGACACAGTTGACACATTTTGCCACTGTGAGAAAAGAAGAGCAAAACAGTGCAGCTTGAGAGTTTTACAACCACAGGTGAATCCCACCCCTTGCTTAAGGGCTCTCCCCTATAAAATGAAAAAAAAAAAAAACCCAGGTCTGGATTCAACAGACAGCATGAGGAAATCCCCACGTTACAAGGAAGTTGTTTTGGAATATACATGCATGAGTACTTCTAGGGACATACCGTGGAAGAGAAGAAATACTCTGAGATCAATGATGTAATCAGCCAGATCCCAACACAATGACGTCTGGACTCAGGAACTTCAGACAGACTTAGATTTTCATTACACAAGGCTGATTGTCTCACTTCCTCACAAAGGTATGCTATCTGAGAATGATTTGAGGCATGGCATACTGTAATTAAAGGTTCTAGTGAAAAACCCTTCAGTCCCATGAGGAACAGTTCAGAGAATATGGACGTCACATTTTCCACGTCAGTTTTGAAAAAATGGCTTTTCTCTTTGAAGACACTGCACAGTCTAGGAGGCTTGTTGTATAAAATCTGTAGGCCTGTGTGTTCAAAGTGCAATAATTGACAAGCATGTGTGTGAGAGAACTTCAATAGTTTACACTACACTAATCACTAGACTACTGGCAAATGAAATAGGATGTAAACACTTCCTTTTATCAGTCTGTCACTGTTTTGACGCATATAGGCTATTTTAAGTAGGTGTTAATTGACACCTACATATGAATATGTTTGGGAGTTTTTAGATGTTGGGGGATTGTTAAGAACACAACCTTTGCACTTTGTTTATTCTCTGAACTTTGTTTCGTTTATTCTTAATGTGGCTGTTAAATGTATAAAAAAAAAGTTCAAAGGAAATTAATTTGTGAAATTAAAATACTAATTTGTCCCCCAACTTATGTGTCAGTTTCATAGTTTGCCAAAAATATATAAGTTAATAGTTCATAATTAAAAATCATAGTTAGATTTCGACATTTTCACAAATGTTCGCAATGTTAGGGTGGTTGCCTGGGCATTGCCACAGTGGTATGGACCCTTGCTTTCACTCGGCGGCCATCTTGGCATTGCTCCCTAGGCAGATATTTCCAAGTACAGTAAGTACAGATCCTATCTATTTGAACAGGGAAAGACATACATCTCAAAAGCTAGATAGATAGTGTTATCCTTAAATAACTGACTTCAAATAGAAATATTAACAACATTATAAATGGTATCACAAACTGTGCTTCTTTTTAGTTAGATTTTAGCCCGCTAATGCGCATTCCAGCGTCAACAAACAGGTGATCCCTTACCAAAAAGAAGTATACTTCAAGTTTATTTTATTAAGTATACTTAAGTAAAGTTCAAGTATATTTTTAAGTATACTTTATGTAGTAAGTATACAAATATCAGTGTACTAGTAGTATAAGTGTACTATTTCAATACTCCTTGGGACTAAATTGGCCCACTTTCTAGTATATAAAAGTATACTTTTAAGTATACTTTAAGTATAACAGTAGTACTCTTTGAGTACACCACTAGTTTACATCTATGTTTTTAGTTTGTACTGCAACTATACTAAAAGTGAACTTATAGGTGCACTGATAGTTTACTAATTAAATACTTGTAGTAGCATTTTTAGTACACTTTGAAGTATAGTCTTAGTAAACTACTAGTTTAGTAGTTTATACTGCAAGTATACTAGTAAGTTTTCTTCAAGTGAACTTTACATCATACTTTAAGTATACTACTATGTCCCTATTTAGGTATTAATTTGTATATGTTTTGTTATATAAATATCTGAACATACAAAACATCAAAAGAAAGAATTGGGTATCTGCTTGTAAACAAAAACATTTTATTCTAGCTTCATGCATTCTTTTTTATAAACACTTGAATGTGGGTAAGTTTCATAAATAAAAATAAATAAATAAATAACATTTTGAACAAAAAAAGATGAATGATAATCAAAACGTAGATGGAGTCAATCCACACCCCAAAGTTTGACAGTCATTACCTCTTCATGGGTCCACATTTTATTCCATAACATCACACAGTTTTGATGCTGTTTGATGCTGATTACATGTGGAAGCATTTGTTGTTTCGGTTTCTTCTTCGCTTGTATTTTGGAGATTTTGTACAGTAGATGTATAATAGCGCCCCCTACAGTATAACAATGAAAAGATGGATTCCCAGAGCACAAGTATAGCTCAAATATATTTAGATCTGCAGAAAGCAGAGGCGTTCCCTCTCCAGGAGTGGCCAGAGTCAACCGGCAGACCTGGTTCTCACGTCTGCTTCTGCAACCGTGCACAGCTAGCGGAAAAGTTAGTGTCCACATAATCAGACGACTAAACCTGGTGCCACTGATTCTGTTGAATGGTTATGCATTAACATGATTTGAGAGTATTTGAAGTTTAATAAAGCAGTGTAAAACTGGATGTCGCCCATATACTATTTCATATAAAGCGATCTATGTTATTGTGGACATCATCAACATGTTTTTTATGGCTATGGTATTTACTTTGTGTGGCCGCGCACATTTTTGAGTATACTTGAAAAGCAAAAGAGATGATGTAACTGTTTCTCATACGGTATCTCAGTACCTATTATTACCGGCTTTAGAAGGCTGATCTACACTTGTATCTTTCCCTCACGGCGACTAAGGCTCGGCACTTCCCTGTCATTCACGCTGACGACTTTTTCCATTGTCGTCCCCTTTCCTCTCCAGAGCCATGCTGTTGATTAATGGGATGGCTCTGAAAACCTTATCGGACCTGTCGTTTTCATAGACGATACCGAACACTGACAAATGAAGGGAGGTGTCACATTGACTGCCCTAATAAAAACAATATCACCCTTTTGCAGGCTCGCCAGGTCAGGAGGTCACTTCCTTTATTTTGATGGTTTCTGCCGGTTTATTT